TTGATGGGGGGGGAACAGTGTAGAGGGAGCTTTACTCTGTATCTAACTCCGTGCTGTCCCTGTCCCTGGGAGTGTTTGATGGTGGGGTGGTGACAGTGTAGAGGGAGCTTTACTCTGTATTTATCTAACCCTTAGCCACCAGAGGCTGGGGCAGGGTTTGAAGCCATTGCCCAGCACAATTTCCGGGGGGCGGGAGGGGGGGTGGGGGGTCCTGGATTATGACAGCGTGGACAATACCACCTGCAGCACCACCTGCTGTTGACAGTATGACACTACACCGCTCACCCCACACTCACCTTCGCCCCAACAGACACATGATGTGATAGGCCGGCTCCTTCAAGTGTAGCCAACGAACCAGCTTCTTCAGAGAGAAATGGTTTCTTGGCTTTGTCTCATTCGCAGTCGGAGAGGATTCACGCAGCTGAGAGAGATGGAGAGAGACGTGACAGTGCGGAGACAACATGGATTCAGGTTAGACCCAAACCCCCTTCCCGTCCGCTCCCGTCGGACACAATCCCAATGGACCCAAGCCCCCTTCCCATTCACTCCCGTCGGACACAATCCCAATGGACCCAAACCGCCTTCCCGTTCACTCCCGTCGGACACAATCCCAATGGACCCAAACCGCCTTCCCGTTCACTCCCGTCGGACACAATCCCAATGGACCCAAACCCCCTTCCCGTTCACTCCCGTCGGACACAATCCCAATGGACCCAAACCCCCTTCCCGTTCACTCCCGTCGGACACAATCCCAATGGACCCAAACCCCCATCCCGTTCACTCCCGTCGGACACAATCCCAATGGACCCAAACCCCCTTCCCGTTCACTCCCATTGGACACAATCCCAATGGACCCAAACCCCCTTGGCATAATTCCCAACTGATGACAACACTGTTAAAAAAAGTCTCAAAGGAACAAAACCACACGGATCATTTGGCAGTGACACAAGGACGACAAACGAGAACGTTAATCAGAGCCCAGTCCTCCTCACCAACATCTGGGGACTAGCGCCAAAATTGGGAGAGCTTTAGATTAATTGACGATGCCTGGTCGGCACAGACGAGTCTGCTTCCATGTTGGTACGGCCTCCTTACGACTCTCTCAGACCCTGGATCGCCAGGTCACCCAGTCACCCCTGACACTCACTTTCCTCGGGCTGTTCTTGCAGCGTTGCCTCCTGCTGTTGTACTTGGCCAACTGGTACTCATCGAACCCTTTAAACCGATCGGAGAGAGACTGCCGCAGACACGAGGGGTACGGGGCCAGGCTCCCGGTGTCCGATGCCAAGCTCTGGGGGTGGGGAGGTGGTGGTCAGAGACAGACAGAGAGAGAGAGAGAGAGAGAGAGAGAATCAGAAAGGGGGGAGAACATCAACTCACCCTCCCGGCAGGTCAAAGGTTGCCCGGCGTATGGGGCACAGTTCCCACCGTTCGATGTGTTGTACGCGTTCCCTTCCCCTCCCACCCCCATCGGCGTACCCGCTGAATACGTCCCCCGCTCCCCCTCGTACCCGCTGAATACGTTCCCCCCGTCCCCGTGTAACCGGTAAATATGACACCCGCCGCCACCATTCCTGTGCAACCGGTAAATACGTGCCCCACTCCTCCATTCCCGTGTAACCGGCAAATGTGTCTGCCCCCTGCCCCCTGCCCCCTCCCCCCCCCACCCACCGTCTGCACGTACCCTCTAAGTATGTCCTCCCTCACCCCCATACCCGTGCAACCGGTAAATGTGCCCCCTACCCACCATCCCCACGCCCCCCTAAATCATGCCTGTGTAGCCTCTAAATATGTCCCCTGCCCACCATACCTGTGTAGCTATCAAATACATTCCCCCCTCCACCATCCCCGTTTACCCTGTATATATGCCCCGTCACCCCACGTACCCGGTATATATGCCCCCCTCACCCCGTGTACCCGGTATATATGCCCCCCTCACCCCGTGTACTTGGTATATATGCCCCCCTCACCCCGCGTACTTGGTATATATGCCCCCCTCACCCAGTGTACCTGGTATATAAGCCCCCCTCACCCAGTGTACCCGGTATATATGCCCCCCTCACCCACTGTACCCGGTATATATGCCCCCCAGCCCCTGTACCTGGTACAGCTGCGCCACTTCGATCCAGTCCGAAGGCAGCCGAACGGCCTGGCAGAAATAGCGGCGCAGGTGAGGCCTCGAGGGCGGGAGCCAGGCGCTCAGCGCCAACAGGAAGTTGGCAGTGCTGCGGATGTTCAGTTCCTGCCGCGTGTACAGGGCAACCTGCCAGGGGAGGGGGCAGGGGGGAGAGACAGGAAGGGGGTCAGGGGAGAGAGGGAAAGGAGCAGGGGAGACGGCGCAGAGGGGGAGAGACAGGAAGGGGGTCAGGAGAGAGAGGGAAAGGAGCAGGGGAGAAAGGGAGGAGAGGGAAACGGGGCAGAGGGGGAGAGACAGGAAGGGGGGCAGTGGAAAGAGGAAAGGGAGCAGGGGAGAGAGGGAGGAGGGGGAATTGGGGCAGGGGAGAGAGACAGGAAGGGGGGCAGCAGAGAGAGGAAAGGGAGCAGGGGAGAGAGGGAGGAGGGGGAAATGGGGCAGCGGAGAGAGGAAAGGGAGCAGGGGAGTGGAGGGGTGGTGTGGGGACATGGGGTGAGAGAGGGGGGAGGAGGCAGAGGGGGAGAGACAGGAACAGGGTCAGGGAGAGAGGGAACGGAGCGGGGGGAGAGAGGGGCGTGAACAGGGCACAGGGGGAGAGACAGGAAGGGGATCAGGGGAGAGAGGGAAGGGAGCAGCGGGGAGGGGGCACGGGGGAAGAGAGAGAGATGTCAGTCACTATATATCAACTGCACATGGGCCACGACACCAACACACTCGCCCAAACCAACACGTAGTCAGTGAGACAAGGATTCACCCCCATCCCCTACAAATTCCTCAATCAACAGATACCCTTTTGTACAAATTGCCCCATTCCCTTCTCTCTCTCACACACACTCCTGTATGTGGACAGGTCGCTCTAACCCTGTCTCTCTCTCACATACACACTCCTGTATGTGGGCAGGTCGCTCTAACCCTCTCTCTCTCATACACACACACACACACACTCCTGTATCTGGGGAGGTCTCTCTAACCCTCTCTCTCTCTCTCACACACACACTCCTGTAACTGGCGGGGGGGGGTCTCTCACTCTGGCTGTTCCCATTTGGCTACCTTCAGGAGAAACTCGGGATCTTGCTGCGCGATCTCCTCGCACAGGACCTGCAGCCTTTCACGGGTGGCATCTTCCTTCTCAGCGAAGTTCACCCCTTTGATGAGAGAGCAGCAAACCTCGTTCAAGAGCTGCACCTGAGAAAGAAAAATGACAGCAGCTTGGCACAGACCGTTGTCTTTCTCGCGTTTAATCGCGGACCGGAAAAGTGGGAGGGAGCGGCTCCGAGAACCCGGAAATGGTTGAAGGATTGTTGCGCGTTTCCGGAAAGCAAAAGACTTTAAACCACTTAACGTTCGTTGTCAGAGCCGTTTACACAGACGCTGGTCCCACCAGTAGAACACAGAACATAGAACAGTACAGCGCAGTACAGGCCCTTCAGCCCACAACGATGTGCCGACCTATTATCCTACTAAGATCAATCTACCCTGCATACCCTACATTTTACTATCCTCCATGTGCCCATCCAAGAGTCACTTCAAAGTCTCTAAAGTATCTGACTCCACTACCACTGCCACCAACACATTCCACACACCCACCACTCAGTGTGAAGAACCTACCTCCGACATCTCCCCTATACCTTCCTCCAATCACCTTAAAATGATGCTCCCCCTCGTAATAGTCATTTCCGCCCTGGGAAAAAGTCTCTGACTATCCACTCTGTCTATGCCTCTCATAGTAGGAAGGTGAGGTGCAGAGAAGATTGGACCCAGAGGTGTTCACAAATAGATGTTCATCTAGCAACAGCACCTCATAGGTCAGTGTGTTGGTCACCATTCATTGGCAACAAACCCCTTCCACCTCCCTCAAATTATGGGTTTGGTTCTTTGTGATACGTGGGCCTCAGTGGCTGAGCCTGACATTTATTGCCCCATCCCTAACTGCCCCCCTTGAGAACGTAGGGGTGAGCTCCCATCTTGAACCGCTGCACCCCATGTGTTGTAGGTAGACCCTCAGGGAGGGAATTCCAGGGACTCTGACCCAGCCACACTGAAGGAACGGCCGATATATTTCCAAGTCGGGATGGTGAGTGGCCCGGAGGGGGAGCTCGCAGGGGGCTGGTGTTCCCATGTATCTGCTACGCTCCCCCCCAACTTTGTCCTTCTAGATGGTAGAGGGGTGCGGGGTTTTGGAAGGTGCTGTCAGAGGAGCCTCGGTGAGTTTCTGCAGGGCATCTTGTAGATGGTACACACTGCTGCAGCTGAGCGTCAGTGGAGGAAGGAGCGGATGTTTTACAGAATGTCAAAAGATATTGCCAGGAAATTTACATTCTGGAGTGGACAGAAACATGCGCAGCCTCATGTGGGATTTGTACTTCGAAACTGTATACTTCAAAGAATGACGTTTTAATCTCATTTTCAGATGGAAATGGTGATAGCTCATCTCACATTCGTTGACACAAATTTCGAGGAGGCCGTAACGAAACCTTCGAGGAGCAAAGTTCAGTATTTTTGAAAAAGTCATCTTTTAATTGTGTGCTATTTTACAAATTGTGCACTGAAACGAGAAAGAACTGATTAAAACCAGGGAGTTTCCCAAAATGGCTGAAAGTGTTCAAAGCCAATAATGAGTTAAGGAGTGGCAGGTGGAGTTTAATTTGGATAAATGCCAGGTATTGCATTTTGATAGATAAAACAAGGGCAGGGCTTATACAATTAAAAGTAAAGCCTTGGGTAGTGCTGTAGAACAGAGAGACCTCGGGGTTCAGGTACCTAATTCTTTGAAGTTTGCGTCACACATAGACAAGGTGGTTAAGAAGGCATTTAGCACGCTTGCCTTCATTGCTCAGACCTTTGAGTATAGGAGTTGGGACGTCACGTTGAGGAACTGTGTCCAGTTCTGGTCGCCCCGTTATAGGAAGGATGTTATTCAACTGGAGAGGGTTCAGATTTACCAGGATGTTGCTGGGAATCGAGGGTTTGAGTTATAAGGAGAGGATGGAGAAGCTGGGACTTTTTCCACTGGAGTGTTAGAGGTTGAGGGGCGACCTTATGGAGGTTTATGGAGGCACAGATTGGGTGAATAGCAGGCGGGGTGGGGAATTTCAAGACTAGGGGGCATAATTTTTAAGGTGAGAGGAGAAAGACTTAAAAAAGACACGAGGGGCAAACATTTTACACGGAGAGTGGTTCGTGTGTGGAATGAGCTTAATGAGGAAGTGGTGGGTGCGGGTACAGTTACAACGTTTAAAAGACATTGAGCTAAGGACATGAATGGGAAAGGTTTGGAGGGATATGGGCCAGGCGCAGGCAGGTGGGAATAGCTTAGTTTGGGATTATGGACGGTACAGACTGGTTGGGCCGAAGGGTCTGTTCCTGTGCTGCGTGACAGGGACATGGTGTGACATACTGTTAGAGGTAGGGCAATGGAGATAATCTGAAGTGGGGAGGGCACACCTCAAAAGAACTGGAGATGCGCCAACTGTTGCAAGTTCCTCCAAAATTGGGGACAACACAGGGGATCCAATTTCACCCGCCAACCCAATTTGCCCAGCAGTCGTTCCCTGCCATGCTCTGTCGGACGACACAAAACCCTGGTTCGGCCACATCTGGAGTATTGTGTCGAGTTCTGGTCGCCTCATTACAGGAAAGATGCGGAAGCGTTGGAAAAGGCACAGAGGAGATTTACCAGGACGTTGCCTGGAACGGAGGGAAGGTTCTTACGAGGAAAGGTTGAGAGAGCTCGGGCTTTTCTCTTTAGAACGATGAAGGATGAGAGGTGACTCGATAGAGGTGTACCAGATGATCAGAGGTATAGATAGAGTGGACAGCCAGAGACTTTTTCCTAGGGTGGAGGTAGCTATTACGAGGGGAGCATAGTTTTAAAGCGAGTGGAGGTAGATATAGGGGAGACATCAGAGGTAGGTTCTTTACTCAGAGAGTGGTAGGGGCGTGGAATGCATTGCCGGAGAGGGTAGTGGAGTCGGCCTTATTAGGGGCATTTAAGCGGCTATTAGATAGGCATATGGATGATAGTATAATGTGGGGGTGGAAGTTAGATAGACCTTAGGATTAGGTTAAAAGTTCGGCACAACATCGTGGGCCGAAGGGCCTGTACTATGCTGTACTGTTCTGTGTTCCATACCTCTGTGAGTCAGACGCCCTAGAAGTGATCCTCAGAAGGATCCGCTCAGGGACGTCCACTCAGCCACCCCGAAAGCACTGGAGAACTCCCATCCCCCCCGACGTAGCAGCACCCTGGGCTGTGCCTGACAGGTGGACGCGCAGACCGGCTTGGGGGCTCCACAGCGCACAACCAGGGCGCCCACCCCGGGCAATGGGCCAGGAGTCACGCGCGCTCACCTTCTTCCGCCTCAACACGGCGTCCCGGTTCTGCGAGGGGTCTGCAATGTCTCGCAGCTCCTCATCGGCCAGGTCCCCCCGGGCCTGCTCCAGGTCCTCGTACTTCTCATTCGACAGGTCGTAGGCAGGCAGCGGCTCAGACAACTCGGCCGGGACTTCCCAGGCCTGAGGAGCAGAACAGAAGCAGAACGTTCAAAGCTGCACCCAAACCTCCTCGATTCGCTTCCAATCTGTAACTCCCTCCCTGGTATCTGTTATTCTGTATATAAACCACCCCGAACCCCTCGATCAGATTCCAGTCTGTAACTCCCTCCCGGGGTATCTGTTATTCTGTATATAAACCCCACCGAACCCCTCAATTAGATTCCAGTCTGTAACTCCCTCCCGGGGTATCTGTTATTCTGTATATAAACCACCCCGAACCCCTCCATTAGATTCCAGTCTGTAACTCCCTCCCGGGGTATCTGTTATTCTGTATATAAACCACCCCGAACCCCTCGATCAGATTCCAGTCTGTAACTCCCTCCCGGGGTATCTGTTATTCTGTATATAAACCACCCCGAACCCCCTCGATTAGATTCCTGCATGTAACTCCCTCCTGGGGTATCTGTTACTCTCAATAACGGGCTGCATACTGAGCCAACGGTGAGGTGCCTACCTGCTGCCTGCTGTCGATGGTGCCCTCGGCTCGGCTCTCAGGCTGGCATTCCGGCTCTAGCTGCCGAGGCTCTGGTTTGTGGGCGAGGGAGTAGAGGCCGTGCAGACCACCCCTCCTGGCGCCGAGGCCCAGAGGCAGCCGGGGGCTGAGAGGCTGGCTGAAGCGGAGGGTCGGTTTCGGAAGGCCCGCCCGGGCCCCAGGGGGCGGCACCAGAAACCTGTTCTCCAGCCACGCGGCTGGCAGCCGGAGTCTCGGGGTGAGGAGGTGCTGGGCGGAGGTCCTGGGCACTTGGACGCCTGCAGGTCGGAGGGCGGCCGTGCCCGGCTGTGGCAGGCCGGAGCTGAGCCCGGTGCCCGGGCGCGTCAATCGATTACCGTCGGTCTTCATCCTTCGAGTCCTGTCGAGGAATGAGAGAACATTCAGAGCCGGGCCCTCAACGCTTGGGGTTTGGTGGAAAGAAAGAAAGGGCCCCTTTAAATTTAAAGGGACAGGCCCGCATTCGGCGGCAGTTACTGCATCACACATTACGACTGCTGCCCCTTCCCCAACTCTGGGGAGCTCTCCCGAACTCCTACCACCATGCCCTCCCAAGTCATCTCCTGCCAATTTGGCAGGAAAACCATTAGACCCTGTGCCCCCAGGAATTTGGGGGAATGAGGATCGATTGTACCTACTCTAGGCGGAGGGAGAGGGAACGGGGCTTGGACCCTCAGTGCCCAGAGTGGGAGGTGAAGGGATGAGCTTCAGGTCCCCTGAACTGATCATCCACTCTCCCCGTTTCCTCCCCCATAACCCTCGATTCCCTTCCTGATTAAAAACCCTCTCTCTGTTTCAGCCTGGAACTGTCTCAGCCTAGAACACACACACTTGAGGTGCAGGAATGCAATACCTCCACCACTCCCCTCAACCTCCTCCCTCCCGCTGGGAGATACACACGCCAAGAGGCGGGCAGTAAGCCAATGAGATTGCCCCGGACTCTAGGGAGCAAGGGGCTGGCTTCACTCCCATAGCAATGACAGATGGGATCAACCTTCCCCCAAATCTCCAGGCAGTGAGAGACTGGGATACCCTTTGAAATAAATGGACTAATTTCAAAGGAGATGGAGTATAAAGGGAGGGAGGTTTTGCTAAAACTGTACAAGGCATTTGTCAGACCAAAGCTGGAATACCATGAACAGTTTCGGGCCACATATCTAAGCAAAGATGGACGGACATTGGAGACAGTCCAGGGACGGTTCACTCGGCTGATCCTGGGTAGGGAGGGACTGCCTTATGAGGAGGGGGTGAGTCGGTCGGGTCTGTACTCATTGGAATTTAGAAGGCTGACAGGTGACCTTATTGAAACAGATTAGATTCTTAGGGAGGACTTGAGAGGGAAAATGTGGAGAGGTTGTTTCCCTTTGTGTGGGAGAGTCTAGGAACAGAGGGGCATCATCTCAGAGTGAGGGGGTCGCCCACTGAAGACGGAGATGGGGAGGAACTTCTTCTCTCTCTGAGGGGAGGGGTGGAGTGAATCTGTGAAATTCTTTACTACAGAGGGGGGGCTGTTGAGGCTGCATCATCGAGTATATTCGAGGCCGAGATAGAGAGGGATTTTTAATCAGGAAGGGAATCGAGGGTTACGGGGAAAAGTGGGAGTTGAGGATGATCAGATCCCATTGAATGGGAGAGCAGACCCAATGGGTAGGATGGTCCACTTCTGCTACTCTGTCTTACGTCATTTATGTGACCTCCTCAGGCCAGTGATAGCATGGAGTAACTCAGACAGAAGATCAGGGATTGTGCAACCCCACTCAGGGACTGGGATTATCTATTCTCCAGGGTCAGGAGGGCTTGGATACTGGTGCAGGGACAATGAGGGACAGGGGTTTGGGATATTCCGGGGGGCAACGGGACAGGGGTCCAGGGAAACCCGGGGGGGGGGGGGGGGGGGGGGGGGGGGGGGGGGGTTGGGGACACCCGGGGGGGGCAATGGGGCAGGAATTTAGGAAACCCCAGGGGTGGCAATAGGGCAGGAATTTAGGAAACCCCGGGGGGTGGCAATGGGGCAGGGGTTTAGGAAACGCCGAGAGGGGGCAATGGGGCAGTGATTTGGGAAATCTCAGCGGGTGGGGCCGATGGGTTTGGGAAACCCCGGGGGTGGGGACGATGGGTCAGGGGTTTGGGAAACCCCGGGGGTGGGGACGATGGGTCAGGGGTTTGGGAAACCCCGGGGGGTGGGGACGATGGGTCAGGGGTTTGGGAAACCCCTATTGCAAACCTCACCTTGGACACCACTTCCGGGATCTGGCCGGGTGATGCCGCGCGTGCGCAGAACGTTCGCAATGTATCAAATGTTCGGTTCTGCGCGTGCGCAGTCACTCCCAGTGGCATGGGGCCAAACAGAGTAAATCCCATAGACACACAGAGGGAGGTGGGAAGGAAGGAAGGAAGGAATGAATGAATGGGAAGAGGGAGAGGGAGAGGAAGAGGGAGAGGGAGAGGGAGAGGAAGAGGGAGAGGGAGAGCCAGACCGATACGATGGGGGAAGAGATAGACAGATAAAGGGAGAGAGAGTGTGACAGACAGAGGGAGGGAGATGGAGTGAGCAAGGGAGACGGATAGATCCAACATGGGGGGTGGTAGAAAGAGACACATGGGGAGAGGGAGGGAGATTGACACTAGGAGGGAGGTGGGGCGGGGGAATAGGTAGTGAAGGAGGATGGAGAAAGACGTAGACACAGAACGGCGACAGACAGAGAGAGATACTGACATAGGAGAGGAGTGGAAGATACATTGACAGGGAGGGGAAGGGAATAGAGATAGACACATCGAGAGAGAGAGATAAATAGACGCAGGAAGAGAATGAGTGATAGACGCAGAGACTAAGGGAGTGATGGAGGGAGAGACACACCAACGTGTATTCAGTACATCAATGGAATCAAAGCAATCTACTCCTTAACTCAGGAAGCCAGAATTGGCCCTTTATCTCATGGCTACTGACATAGGATATGGTTTCCCCAGGTTCTGAGCTCCCAGTGGGGTTTCACGTGCAGTTTGTGACTGCAAAATTCAGGACAAGACCAATAACTTGCTGATGCTATACTCGGCACCAATACACTTGAGGTATGCAAGTGTGTGGCTGCTGCAAAGAGATGGGGTTGGCGATGCACGATGGAAAACTGAAGGGAAAGTCAAACGAGACTCAACATTAACTCTGTTTACCTTCCACACGTGTTACCAGACCTGCTGAGTTTCTCGAGCATTTTCTGTTTTTACCTCAGATCTCCTGGAGGTGGTAGCTCAGTGGTTAGCACTGCTGCCTTGCGGCACCAGGGACTCGGGTTCGATTCCACCCTCAGGCAACTGTCTGTGTGGAGTTTGCATGTTTTCCTCGTGTCTGCATGGGGTTTCCTCCCACAGTCCAAATACATGAAGCTTATGGTGGATTGGCCATCCTAAATTGTCCAAAGTATCCATGAATGTTCAGGCTTGGTGGGTTAGCCATGGGAATGCAGGGTTACAGGAATAGGGTAGGGGGTGCAGACTTAGTGAGCTGAGTGGTCTCTTTCAGCACTGTACTATGCTAATCCTCAGCTTTTTGCTTTCATTGCAACTAGAAATGGGATGTAGTTGGGGGGCTTTTGTTTTGGGATGTACACAAGGTAACGGGGAAGAAACAGCACAAGGAGTATTTTTCATTTAGTACAGTGCTGTAAGGGGCTGAGCAAGCAGCAGGATTGGAGCAGAATTGATATCACGTGATGTGGAGAGAATGGTCAGTGAAATTAGTTTGGGATTGATCCAGGGCCACAAGGAGAATGTAGGTCAGTGCAATCAGTTTGGAATCAAGACATAGTCTATAGGTAGATGGGAATACATTGTGATTCTTATAGAGTCATAGAGTTGTACAGCACGGAAACAGACCCTTCAGTCCAACTCGCCAATGGGTGGGGTAGGCGATGGCCCAGTAGTATTATCGCTAGACTATTAATCCAGAAACCCAGCTGATGTTCTGGGGACCGGGGTTCAAATTCCACCACGGCAGATGGTGGAATTGGAATTCAAACAAAAAAAAAGTCTGGAATTAAGAATCTACTGATTACCATGAAATCATTGCCGATTGTTGGAAAAACCCATCTGGTTCACTAATGTCCTTCAGGGGAGGAAATCTGCCACCCTCACCTGGCCTGGCCTACATGTCTCTCCAGACCCACAGCAATGTGGTTGACTCTCAACTGCCCTCTGAAATGGCCTAGCAAGCCACTCAGTTGTACCAATTGCTACAAAGACTCAAAGAAATGGAACTGGACGGATCATCCGACATCGACCCAGGCACCAGAAAAGACAACGGCAGAAACGGCCCTGTAGACCCTGCAAAATCCTCCTCACTAACATCTGGGGGTTAGTGCCAAAATTGGGAGAGCTGTCTCACAGACTAGTCAAGCAACAGCCTGACATAGTCATACTCATAGAATCATACCTCACAGACAATGTCCCAGACACCACCGTCACCGTCCCTGGATATGTCCTGTCTCACCGGCAGGACAGACCCATCAGAGGGGGCAGCACAGTGGTATACAGTCGGGAGGGAGTTGCTCTAGGAGTCCTCAACATTGACTCCGGACCCCATGAAGTCTCATGGCTTCAAGTTAAACATGGGCAAGGAAACCTCCTGCTGATTACCACATACCGTCCTCCCTCAGCTGATGAATCAGTATTCCTCCATGTTGAGCAACACTTGGAGGAAGCACTGAGGATGGCAAGGGCACAAAATGTACTCTGGGTGGGGATTTCAATGTCTACCACCAAGAGTGGCTCGGCAGCAGTATTACTGATCGAGCTGGTCAGGTCCTAAAGAACATAGCTGCTAGACTGGGTCTGCGGCAGGTGGTGAGGGAACCAACAAGAGGGAAAAACATACTTGACCTCATCCTTACGAATCTGCCAGCTGCAGATGCATCTGTCCATGACAGTATCGGTAAGAGTGACCATCGCACAGTCCTTGTGGTGACGAAGTCCCACCTTCACATTGAGAACAAACTCCATCGTGTTGTGTGGCACTATCATTGTGCTAAATGGGACAGACTTCGCACTGATCTAGCCACTCAAGACTGGGCATCCATGAGGCGCTATGGGCCATCAACAGCGGCAGAATTGTACTCCAGCACAATCTGTAACCTCATGGCCCGGCATATCCCCCACTCAACCATTACCATCAAGCCAGGGGGTTAACCCTGGTTCAATGGAGAGTGCAGGAGGGCATGCCAGGAGCAGCACCAGGCATACCTGAAGATGAGGTATCAACCTGGTGAAGCCACCGAACAGGACTACTTGCACGCCAAACAGCAAAAGCAGCAAGTGATAGCCAGAGCGAAGTGATCCCACAACCAACGGATCAGATCTAAGCTAATCAGTCCTGCCACATCCAGTCATCAATGGCGGTGGACAATTAAACGGCTCACTGGAGGAGGCGGCTTCACAAATATCCCACCCTCAATGATGGGAAAGCCTGGCACATCAGTGCAAAAGATAAGGCTGAAGCAGTTGCAGCAATCTTCAGCCAGAAGTGCCGAGTGGACAATCCATCTCGGCCTCCTCCAGTGGTCCCCAGCATTACAGATACCAGTCTTCAGCCAATTCGATTCACTCCGTGTGATATCAAGAAACAGTTGGAGGCACTGAATGCTGCAAAGGCTATCGGCCCTGATAACATTCCGGCAATAGTACTGAAGACTTGTGCTCCAGAACTTGCCACTCTCTTAGCCAAGCTGTTCCAGTACAGTTACAACACTGGTACCTACCCGACAATGGGAAAATTGCCCAAGTATGTCCTGTATATATAAAGCAGGACAAATCCAACCTGCCCCATCAGTCTCCTCTCGATCGTCAGTAAAGTGATGGAAGGTGTCAGTAACAGTGCTATCAAGCAGCACCTGCTCAGCAATAACCTGCTCAGTGATGCCCAGTTTGGGTTCCGCCAGAGCCACTCAGCTCCTGACCTCATTACAGCCTTGGTTCAAACATGGACAAAACAGCTAAATTCCAGAGATGAGGCGAGAGTGTCAGCCCTTGACACCAAGCTGCATTCGATCGAGTGTGGCATCAAGGAGCCCTGGCAAAACTGGAATCAATGGGTATCAGGGAGCAAACGCTACGGTGGTTGGTGTCATTGCCTGACACATAGGAAGATAGTCGTGGTTGTGGGAGGTAAATCATCTCAGCTCCAGGACATCTCTGCAGGAGTTCCTCAGAGAGCTTCAGCAGCTTCATCAATGACCTTCCCTCCATCATAAGGTCAGAAGTGGGGATGCTCGCTGATGATTGTACAATGTTCAGCACCATTTGTGACTCCTCAGATACTGAAGCAGTCTGCGTTCAAATGCAACAAGATATGGACAATATCCAGGCTTGGGCTGACAAGTGGCAAGTGACATTCGCACCATACAAATGCTAGGCTATGACCATCACCAGTAAGAGACAATCTAACCACCGCCCCTTGACATTCAATGGTGTTTCCATCACTGAATCCCCCACTATCAACATCCTGGGGGTTACCATTGACCAGAAACTCAACTGGACTCACCACATTAACAGTGTGGCTACAAGAGCAGGCCAGAAGCTGGGAATACTGCAGTGAGTAACTCACCTCCTGACTCCTCAAAGCCTGTCCACCATCTACAAGGCACAAGTCAGGAGTGTGATGGATTATTCCCCACTTGCCTGGATGAGTGCAGCCCCAACAACATTCAGGAAGCTTGACACCATCCAGGACAAAGCAGCCCTCTTGATTAGTACTACACCCACAAGCATCCACTCCCTCCACCACCGACGCTCAGTCGCAGCAGTGTGTACTATCTACAAGATGCACTGCAGAAATTTACCAAAGATCCTCAGACAGCACCTTCCAAACCCACAACCACTTCCATCTAGAAGGACAAGGGCAGCAGATATATGGGAATGTCACCACCTCCAAGTTCCCCTCCAAGACACTAACCATCCTGACTTGGAAATATGTCACTGTCGCTGGGTCAAAATCCTGGAATTCCCTCCCTATTAACATTGTGGGTCAACCCACAGCAGGAGGAATGCAGCGGTTCAAGAAGGCAGCTCACCATCACCTTCTCAAGGTCAACTAGGGATGGGCAAGAAATGCTGGCCAGCCAGCAACGCCCACATCCCACGAAATGAATAAGAAAAAAAAATTAAAAATGCTAACCAGATATTCTACATTAATCTCGTCCCATTTGCCAGCATTTGGCCCATTTCCCTCTAAACCCTTCCTATTCATGTACCTGTCCAGATGCCTTTTAAATGTTGTAATTGTACCAGCCTCCACCACCACCTCTGGCAGCTCATTCCATACACGCACTTGCCTCTGCGTGAAAACGTTGCCCCTCAGGTCCCTTTTAAATCTTTCCCCTCTCACCTTAAACCTATGCCCCTCTAGTTTTGGACTCTTCTACCCTGGGGGGAAAAGACATTGACTGTTCACCCTATCACTGCCACTCATGATGTCACAAACATCTACAAGGTCACCCCTCAGGATCCGACGCTCCAGGGAAAATAGCCGCAGCCTATTCAGCCTCTCCCTAGAACTCAAACCCTCCAACACTGGCAACGTCCTCGTAAATCTTTGCTGAACCCTTTCAAGTTCCATAACGCCTTTCCCATAGCATGGAGACCAGAATTGAATGCAGTATTCCAAAAGTGGCCTCACCCAATGTCTTGTACAGCCGCAACATGACTATCCTGTCTACCTGTGACTCCACCTTCAAGGGAGTATACACCTGCACTCCAAGGTCTCTTTGTTTGGCAGTGCTCAGAGAGTGTGGGCAAGAGATTGCACAAGGTGAACAGTTAACAATAAGACATAGGAGGATACTGCCATTCGGCCCATCGAATGTGCTCTGCTGTTCAACAAGATCATGGCTGATCTGATCACCCTCAACTCCACTTTGCCTTTCCCCCCAAAACATTTGATTCCCTTACTGGTTAAAAATCTGTCTCTCTCAGGCTCAACAGCCCCCTGCAGTAAAGAATTCCACAGATTATTACAATAACGGTGCTTATAAAATACTGAACTAACTGTGCAAAGTTGAGAGACATCTGTTGCAAGGCCAGGAGGGGCATCATAGATCAAATGCCTAAGTGACAGAGCAGAGGGCAGCATGGGTGTAATCATTTAAGACTGACAAGGTCGGAATTAGCAAGAATTAAAAGATAAACAAAATATTTACCAGGATCTTGCCAGGAATGGAGGGTTTGAGTTATAAGGAGAGGCTGGGACTTTTTTCCACTGGGGCATAGGAGGTTGAGGTGAATGGCAAGTGTTTTTCCCCTCGAGTGGGATATTTCAAAAATAGAGGGCCATATTTTTAAGACAAGAGGAGAAAGATTTAAAAAAGACATGAGGGGCATTTTGTTTTTACATAAAGACTGGTTTGTGTGTGGAAAGAACTTCCAGAGGAAGTGGTGGGCGAAGGTACAGTTGCAATGTTTAAAAGACATTTGGATGAGTACATGAATAAGAAACATTTGAGGGAAATGGGCCAAGCGCAGACAGGTGAGACTCAATAAAAACCGAGAGAACTGCAGAAAGAACTACAAAAGTTGCTGGAAAAGCTCAGCAGGTCTGGCAGCATCTGTGAAGAAAAAAATCAGAGTTAATGAGAATTTGCATCTATGCTCGTAAGCAATATTTGAAGAAGCGACTAGTATGTCGATTTTTCGTTTTGAACATGAATGAGTGTCTGCAGAAACAAACAGGGATGTCACACTGCAGGTCATAGAAGATAAAACAAGATAAACACAATCAGTCGTAGAGGTTAACAGCACGGAAATAGGCCTTTTGGCCCAACTTATCCATGCCACACAGGTTTCACAATTAATCTAGTCCAAATCCCTCCATAACCACCCATCCGTGTACCTGTCTAAATGTATCTTAAATGACAAAATTGTACTTGCTTCCACAACTACTTCTGGCAATCTGTTCCAGACACTCACCACCCTCTATGTGAAAAAGTTGCCCCACTGGACCGTTTTATATCACTCCCCTCTCACTTTAAATCTACCCCCTCTAGTTTTAGACTCCCCTACCATGGGGAAAAGCTGTTGGCTATCTAAGTTATCAATGCCTCTCATGATTTCATCAACCTCTATAAGGTCACATCTCAGTCCCTATGCTCCAGCCTCTCCTTATAACTCAAATCCTCCAGTCCAGGTAGTATCTTAGTAAATCTTTTCTGCACTCTTTCTAGTTTAGCTAGGGATTAGCTACGAAAGCCTGTTTGAATCTTCTAATGCCATATTTGGAAAACTGGCGGTCATTAGAATCTGTGCGTCGCTGTTAAAGAGACTGTTTGTGTTGTTTTGAAATATGTTAACCCCAGAATGTCATTTTTGACCGGCAAGAAAGCAGCATTTTCAGGAAAATATGAATATCCAGCAGGAGGTGGCCAAAAACTTAGAGGTGCAGAGTTCTCAAGTTGGTCTTGAAAAGAGGACAAGACATTATTGGGGGGGAGAAGGTGACAAATAAAATTCCAAAATTCAAGGCTGTGGGAGCTGTAATTATGTCCCCCATAACTGGGAGCTGGGGTTGGGAATGGATAGATGGTCACTTTGCAGGAGTGCAGAGCAGGAGGGTTGTTGTGCCAGAGGAGGGAGGAAAGGTGGGAGGAGAGAGGAAATTCAGGGAAGAGGAAGCAAAATCAAATTTATAAGTCTATCTGTATCTGCCAAAATGTTTGTCTCTCCATGTCTGTCTGTCTCTCTGTGTCTGTTTATATATGTTTATCTGTCTCTCTGTGTCTGTTTATATGTCTTTCTGTCTCTCTGTGTCTGTTTATATATGTCTTTCTGTGTCTCTCTATCTGCCTGTTCATGTCTGTGTCTGTTCGTCTACATATTTATCTGTCTGTTTCTCTCTCTGTCTCTCGTGTTTCTGTTTCTCTGTCTGCCTGTGCATGTCTCTGTATCTGACTGTCTATATATTTGTCTGTTTCTCTCTGTCTGTATGTCTCTCATGTTGTCTGTCTCTGTGCCTCTCTCCATGTCTTGTCTTTTTGTCTGTCTCTGTATGTATCTGCATGTTTCTGTGTCTGTCTGTTTTTCTCTCTGTCTCTCATGTCCATCTGTCGCTCTGTGCCTGTCGTCCTGTCTGTCTGTTTCACTGTCTGCCTGTGTATGTCCCTGTATTTGTCTGTCTATACATCTGTCTGTCTGTTTTTCTCTGTCTGTATGTCTATATATATATGTGTCTGTCTATATATGTCTGTTTCTGTCTGTCTCTTTGTGCCTCTCTCCATGTCTTGTCTTTTTGTCTGTCTGACTGCATCTGCCTGTGCATGTCTCTGTGTCTGTCTGTCTCTCTGACTGTCCACATGTCTGTTTTTCTCTCTGTCTATATGTCTCTTGTATCTATCTGGTTTCAGCTTCTTCTTTAACGAACCAAGCCCAACTGGACTTTCTGAGGACACTATGTTAAAACCCTGCTTAAGGCTGGGAAATTTAGAACTTAAACTGTACATTTCAGTAAAAATACCCATTCCAAACAAAATTGGATTTGTATGAAAAGACTAAAACCCTCTCTTGACTATCAACAATCAGACCCCATTGTATTGCATTGACATGGCATCTTCTGCTCCTTCAGAAAGTCCCATCGTGGTTTACAGCCAGCAACGCTCTTTCATCACTGTCGTAATGCAGGACACAAGCTGCGCACAGCAAGCTCCCACAGCTGAGCATCGTGTGATTACAGGCAGACAACCAGTTCAGCAATTATTTGCTGAGGGAGACGTTTTGAGTGGTTCAGCAGGGAGAGCTCCCCTGCTGCTCAGAATAACATCACGTGGGACTGGCACCCTGAAAACCGAGACTTCAGACGGGGGCCTTGGAGGAAAGTCATGTCCAAAGGATGGCATCTCTTTGCAGTGCACCCTCAGCGCTGCGTCGGTAGGTCGACTGAGCTTTCCCGCCTGTTTGTCCCGATGTGGATTTGAACGGACGACTTCCTGACTCAAGAGATAAGGAACGCAAGTCGTGAGCCGTGACCCTACACCTCAAAGTTGCTCTGGATTAGTTCAGTTCTCAGACCTTCTCATGGACGAGTGTGAGATATTAGTCCGGGGAGTCACGGATTACCCGAAAAGAGCGGACAGGCAAAACTCTAAGTGATTTTAATGAAATTTTATTAAGAAGCATCAGTTTAGATATTTACAGTAAACTGGCAGGAATGACAAACAACCTATAACAGGAGAGAATGCTTTAAGTGGTCCTGGATCAGGGAATATTGATCCAGGTGTACGGCAGTGTCAGTTTCCTTGGAATAGGTAATAGGTCTCTACTTCAGTTTAATTTAAAAAAAACACTGATGTGGGAAGGATACAAACATCTGACAGAAAGCTATCTTCTTGCAATCTTTAGCCTTTCTCGAAAATGTCCATGGGTGTCAGGCTGATGTATTCATTGAACTAGACCAAGATAAGTCATTTCCTGGGGTGGGTTTCTTGCTTTTACGTCTGTCGGTGTAAATGGGACAGTCCACGTATTCCATCTCATTTGGGAAATCCTGGTGGAACTGCACCATCCAATTTAATATTCTCAGGATAATGGAATGGATGGCCCCGGAAATGTGGCGGAGGGCAGGTTCGATTCGGGCATTGGAGAGGAGCACTGGAGGCTTACTGGGACAGACAGGGATACGGGAAAAGGGAGAAGATTGGCACACAGGGACAGAACTGGTGTAGACAACATGGGACAAATAGCCTCCTCTTGCAATTCTGTGATGCCTGAAGTCAGAAACACTTGCAGTCTGGAGGCAATTCACACTCGCAAGGCACGGCGGCTCAGTGGTTAGTGCTGCTGCCTCACAGCGCCAGGGACCTGGGTTCAATTCCCTGCTTGGGTGGCTGTCTGCGTGGGTTTCCTCCCACAGTCCAAAGATGTGCAGGTTGGGTGGGTTGGCCATGCTAAATTGCCCTGCAGTGTTCAGGGATGTATAGGTCAGGTGTGTTAATGATGGGAAATGCAGGGATAGGATAGGGGAATGGATCTGTGTAGACCTGTTGGACCAAATGGCCAGTTTCCACACCACAGAGATTCGGTGAAATAACAAATGGGATGGCAGAGTGGTTAGCACTTCTGCCTCACGGCGCCAGGGACCTGGGTTCAATTCCACCCTGGGGGTGACTCTCCGTGTGGGGAGACTGCACATTCTCTTCTTCCACCCGGTGTCTACGTGGGTTTCCTCCCACAGTCCAAAAGTGTGCAGATTGGGGTGGGTTGGCCGTGCTAAATTGCCCTGTCGCATCCAAAGATGCGCAGGCTGGGTGGATGAGCCTTGGGAAACAGGCTAGGGGGTAGGATGCTCCTCAGAGGGTTCGGTGTAGGCCTGATGGACCGAACAGCCTCTTTCCGCGCTGCAAAGATCATATCAATTGCTAAGTTGTCGCGGGGGGGCGGGGGTCAGAGTCTCTGCTTGCCTGCAGAAAGAGGCAAGCAAAGGCTCCCCATCAAACAACTTTCGGTCTTCCTTTTCAACCAGCTTCAAATAAAACTGTAAACGCGGTTCGTTGGAACAGTGATCCAGAGGCTCGGGCTAAAGTTCTGGAGATGGAACAGTCCTGCTACAGACAGGGGGGAGGTGGTGAGATTTTTGGATCTGGCAAAGTCTGTAATTAAAATCATGTAACAACTGCAGTTTAATAAAAAAGTTAAACTCCTCGGGTTCACTCCAGTCATTCAGCAAAGGAGTTGGCCTACATGTGGCTCCAGGCCCCAGCGCAGCAAGGGATATCAACTCCCAAACGTCCCAGAGGTGGATGGCTCTCAACGGTGACACACGTGCAGCGTAACAGGGAATTTCTTTCGAAGTGGTTGTCAGAGAGCGCTTCGGCCGTCCTGGGCGTTAAGAAAGGGTGGACATTTCCACAGCTCGCGAATTCCAGGTTGTTTCCCCCCCCCCTCCCCCACCACTTCCCGGAGGCCAACGGTTATCTTTAAAGTCCCGTTTTATTTTGCTCTGCAGCTGTGGAGAGAAAACAAAACCATAGCCCGGTCTTCAAAAGGTTGACACTTCTGCTCAGAAGTTTCACGTCAGAATCCGGCCAGCATTTCAGATTAAACACCCTTCTCTCATCGCTGTGGATAACGGTAACCCCACCCCCGTTTGTCTGCCAATGATGTGCGAGGAGCCGCAGTAGAGCAAACCTTTGTTTCATCCAGCACCATAGCCACTGGCGCTCTTGATAAATCATACAATGCAATGTTGGGAGTATTTACGCTCTAAAAAGAAATACAACAGTGGTGTATCTAAACCCCTGGCATTGGCAGAAGTGTCACCCAATCTTGACGATCCAGGAATACTGGCACAACTCCTGGTACCGTGGGTGCTGGTTAATAATCATAATAATAAAGGTTCACTGCATTTTTCAACAAGGACCTCCCGGTGGAGCGAGGTGGGAGCGATGCGTTGCAACGTCCTTTTTCGCTTTTGGACGGGTCGGGGTCAAATTTCGAAGCCAGAGAGCGACAGGGAGGAGCGGCAGGAGCAGCCAGTGAGCCCAGGCATTCCATCCCTGCCCAGGCCTCCCTCCCTCAGCCTTGGAGCTCAAGAGGTTTCCTCGGGCCCCAACAGGGACGAGAGGGGAAACCGCGTTCGCTTTCAAAGTGGAAAAGAAACACGGGAGTGAGGTCTAACGCGACGGGGGGCAGGCTATCGCAACCGGTGGCCGGGCAGGGCAGCTATTTCTCGCCGGCGGCTGGGGAGACCGGCGGCGGCGGGCACTTGCGGATCCGCTGGTGGGCCCGCAGGTTGGCCAGCTGGGTGAAGCCTGCCCCGCAGCCCGGACAGGTGAACGGCCTCTCTCCGGTGTGGAGGCGCCGGTGGCGCAGCAGGCTGAAGGACTTGGTGAAGCGCTTGCCGCACGCCGGGCAGCCGAAGGGCCGCTCGCCGGTGTGGACCCGCCGGTGGGAGGTGAGGTCGGACGCCTGGCGGAACCTCTTGCCGCACTCGGGGCAGGCAAACGGCCTCTCGTCCGTGTGGACCCGCTGGTGCCTCTGGAAGCTGGTGGGCCCGGTGAAGCCCTTGCCGCAGACCGGGCAGGCGAACGGCCTCTCGCCGGTGTGGGCCCGCTGGTGTTCGGCCAGGCTGGCGGCATGCCGGAACCGCTTGCCGCAGCGGCCGCAGCCCAGTGGCTTCTCGGCGTGGGCCCGTTGGTGAGAGCGCAGGCTGGACGACCAGGAGAAGCCCTTGCCGCAGACCGGGCAGGTGAACGGCCGCTCGCCAGTGTGGACTCGCCGGTGCACGTTGAGGTCGGAGGAGGATCTGAACCACTTGCCACAGGCAGGGCAGCTGTAGGGCCTCTCCTCAGTGTGCGTCCGCTGGTGGGAGAGCAGGCAGGCCGACATGGTGAATCCCTTCCCACACAGCGAGCAGGTGAACGGCTTCTCCCCGGTGTGGACCCGCCGGTGGATCTCCAGCAGCGACGGGTAGCAGAACCCCTTGCCGCAGTCCTGGCACTTCCACGGCTTCTCCCTGGCACCTGGGGGAGCCGTGTGGACCCGCCGGTGGTTCTCCAGCAGCGACGGGTAGCAGAAGGCTTTGCCGCAGTCCTGGCACTTCCACGGCTTCTCCCCGGGGGGCGCTGCGTGGACCCGCCGGTGGTTCTCCAGCCGGGACGGGTAGTCGAACCCCTTGCCGCAGTCCTGGCACTTCCACGGCTTGTCCCCGGCGCCAGGGGGCGCCGTGTGGACCCGCCGGTGGATCTCCAGCCAGGACGGGTAGTCAAAACCCTTGCCGCAGTCCTGGCACTTCCACGGCTTGTCCCCGGGCCCAGCGTGGGCTCGCTGGTGGCTGTCCAACAGGAAACGGTGACCAAACGCTTTGCCGCAGTCCTCGCACTTCCAGGGTTTCTGCCTGGGTCTGGTGTGGACCCGCCGGTGGTTCCGCAGCAGGGACAGGTAGCTGAACCCTTTCCCGCACTCCTCGCACTTCCACGGTTTCTCCCTGGGCCCAGTGTGGACGCGCTGCTGGTGGTTCCTCAGCAGCGAAGGGTAGTGGAACCCCTTCCCGCACTCCTCGCACTTCCACGGTTTCTCCGCCGGCCCGGGCTTGGTGTGGACACGCCGGTGGATTTCCAGCCAGGAAGGGTAATTGAAACTCTTCCCGCAGTCCCCGCATTTCCACGGTTTCTCCATGCAGCCGACTGAAGCCTCATCCGCACGGGACGCGGGCCCCCGGTTTCCCACCGCTGTTCGCAGCGACGACGGTTTTGTCCTGATTTTGTGCCGCGTTAAAAACGATTCGGTTCCAACGGTCCATTTGCCGGAACGCTCTCGCCCGGGCGTGGGTGCACTCCTGGTGGCTTCATCCAGTCACACCAAGGTTGGAAACCTCTTCCCAGGCACCAAGCGGACACACATTTCTTGCTGTGCGTTCAGGGGCCCAATGGCAACTCAGATCCGGATGCTCAGCGTTGACTCCCCGTCAGGTCTTGCCATGATGTTTGCTTGGAGGTCTGAAAAATTCTCCCATCTGATCCCCTGTTGAAGGAGTTCAACAAAAATCATCTCTTGTAAATGCGGTGCGGAAATGCAGAAGCTAGGGATAATATTTCCTTTTCCTACCCCACCCCTCACCTCGCTGGTTGCGCCAAAGCTATAAATCCACATCCCTTAAACCCTCCCTCTTTTCCGGGTTAAAATAAGAAACAGGAGGAGGCCATTCAGCCCCTAGAGCCTGTTCCACCATCCAATGACGTCATCACTGATCTGTGGCCAAGCTCCACACTTAGAGTTTGGCCCATGTCAAAGAGACATGGAGAGGTCCTGCACAGAAACAGGCCCTTTAACTGGACCCCATATTCATCAGAGTTCATTCAGAGTCCTGGGAATACTTGATACAGATGATGGCGAGGGGTCTTTAGACTCATACAGATTTACTGCACAGAAACAGACCCTTTGGTCCAAATCGTCTGTGTCGACTAGATATCCTAAATTAATACAGTCCCATTGACAGCATTTGGCCAATATCCTTCCAAACCCTTCCTATTCATGTACCAATCTGGATGCCTTTTAAATGTTGTAATTATACCAGCCTACACCATCTCCTCTGGCAGCTGATTTCTCACATACACCACCCTCTGGCATGATCAAGTTACCCTTCAGGTCCCTTTTAAATCGTTCCCCTTCCACGTTCCACCTATTCCCTCTCGAGAGATGGGGGGGAGCCATGGCTACTCAACCTATCCATTGCCTCATGATTTTATAAACCCTCTATTAGGTCACCCCTCAGCCTCTGACGCTCCAGGGAAAATAGCCCCAGCCTATTCAGCCTCTCCTTGTAGCTCAAACCCTTCCAACCCCAGCAACATCCTTGTCAATCTTTTCTGCACCCTTTCAAGTTTAACATCTTTCCAATAGCAGGGAGACCAGAATTGAACACAGTTCCTTAATACCTTTGCTTAACAAAAACTTTTTTGATTAAAAAAATCCAAGAACTGAGAATGCTGGAATTCCGAAATCAAAACAGAAATTGTCAGTGAAACTCAGCAAAACTGGCATCATCTGTGGAGAGAAAGCAGAGTCAACGTTTCAGGTCCAGTGACCATTCAGAACATCTCTTCACAGGTGCTGCTAGATCTCTGCAGCAATTTCTTTTTTTGTTCAAAAATCTTACCTGTGTCAAATTTTAAATTAACAACTGATCCAGCACCCTCTGCCATTTGTGGAAGAGAGTTCCAAATCTCTACTACTCTTTATGTGTAGGGGTTCTTCCTGAATGGTCAGTCCTAATATTGAGACTATGCCCCCAGTTCAAGAATCTCCAACCAATGGAAATAATTTATTTTTATTGACCCTGTCCTTTCCTTTTATTATCTTGAAGACTTTGATCAGATAACTCCTTGACATTCTGAATCCAAAAGGAAAACAGGCCCAATTTGTATCATCCCTCCTTACAACTTACCTCCTGAAGGCCAAGTATCATTTTTGCAAACGCACATTGTGCTCCCTTGAAGGCCAATATACCTTCATGAAAATAAAACAAAGAACTGTGGATGTTGGAAATCTGAAACCAAAACAGAAATTGCAGGAGAAACTCAGCAGGTTTGGCAGCATGTGCGGATAAAGAGAGAAGACAGAGTTAACATCTCGGGTTCAGTGTTCCGAAGAAGGGTCACCTGACTTGCAACGTCAACTCCATTTTCTCTGTCTCCCCATAGATGCTGCCGGACCATAAGAAATGGGAACAGCAGTAGATCCCTTGAGCTTGCTCCACCATTTGTTGGGATCATGGCTGATCCGACATAACTCACGGCCACTTTCCTGAGTGTTCCCTGTAAATCTTGATTTGCCCAACTGATCAGGGATCTGTCCAGCTCAGCAGACCTGCTGAGTTTCTCCAGCAATTTCTGTCTGTGTTTCAGACCTTCAGCACCCGCACTTCTTTGCTTTTGTGCTGTTACTGCTTCCCCACCCCCATTTCACTTCTCCACTCCCAGCTCTGTGGTTAGCAACCCTGCCTCACGGCACCAGGGACCCAGGTTCAATTCCAGCCTCGGGCGACTGTCTGTGCAGCGTGTGCATGTTCTCACCATTCCCACCCCCTCCCCCTGTGTCTGCATGGGGATTTCCTCCGGTTTCCTCCCATGGTCTGAAAGATACGCAGGTTAGGGTGGATTGGCTGGGCTAAATTGTCCAGGGAATGTGCAGGCTGGGTGGGTTAGCAGAAGGGAAGGCAAGGTAAGGGGTTGGGTCTGAATGGGATGCTCTTGGGAGGGCAGGTGTGGACTCGATGGGCTGAATGGCCTGCTTCCACACTGAAGGGATTCCCTGATTCACTCCCTCCCTCCCTCTGCCTGTCTGCACGCAGACACGCAGACACACACACACACTCTCCCTCAAACTTGCACTCACATATACACACATTCTCTCTCCCTGCCCCTCCGCGCGCACACGCACACATAAATCTATGGGGTGAATTTGCATTTGCAGATTTGTAACTGCAGATACATTCTATTTTGTTCAAAAAGCACACAATTTGTAGACAGTCAATGCAGCATTTTATGAATTCCTACTTTGGAAATAAAGCCGGTCTGACTCCAAGTTGATACACAGCCAGATTCTAAACAAGGTCTCACACCTAAAATGCTTTGTCTGACCTGGGATGTCACCTCTGGTGTACTGAGAGAACGGATAAAATCTTTAGTTATCTCGGGGCAGTGACTTGAAAGAAATTCTGGAATTTGCATATTAGTCCTTTCTAACTGATTGAAGTTTTAACAGCTACCTTGTGCAACACATTGACATCAGTGCTATGACCGTTTGATCTTTTGCTTATAAATTCTGTGTCTGATGCCACCTCTCTCACTGACAGCCGAAGAAGGAGCAGGGCTCTGTGAGCTTGCGTCTTCAAATAAACCTGTTGGACTGTAACCTGATGTTGTGCGTTTTCTGACCTTGTCCACCCCAGTCCAACACTGGGTCTCAACCACTGTCACACGATGGGTCACGTGGAGGGCGCCCCATAAGCCCCGCCCATTTCGTGACGTGCCAGGCCGGGGCCGCACATGCGCACAGCGCCCACCCCTTCCGCCCCGTTTCGAGGCTGAAACAAGATGGCGGCCGCCGGCGGGGCCGTGTCTCTTCTACGACACAAAAACCTCGGCGTCTGCCAAACGCGGGACCTCCACCGTCTTCCCCGAGGGGCTCGAGACTCGCCCTGGGTGTTGACCGACCCTCCCCCGCCGGTTTTGTTCCCCGAACTCGTGGCCCTCCCTGGCTGCCGCCGCGCCTTACCGAGCGACGTCTCGGCGACCCCCACCGCCGCCGCCATAGCTTCGGATTCGCGAGGCGTTGCGCATGCGCCCGGCCTCTCCGTTTCACACCCCCACCTCCCGCGCGCAGCTGATAGAGGACTTTCTCCCGCGCGGGGGATTCTGGGTGAAGGACCCCACCCCCCCGCTTCTCCAACGCACCACCCCCTCCCCTTCAAGCAAGTGCCGTCAGTCCACATTTTATTTTCCAAAAAACCGAAGGAACTGCGGATGCTGAAAATCAGAAACGGAAATGGCTGGAGAAGCTCAGCAGGTCTGGCAGCACCCGGGGAGGGAAATCAGAACGTTTCGGATCGAGTGACCCTTCCTCAGAACCGTACTGTTTCTGATCAAAGGTTGCGGAGGCGGGATGCCTTCTCACAGTAGCCCTGGGGGGAAGAAGGTGGAGGCAATGGCCTAATGGTGTTATCACTGGGATGTTAATCCAGAGGGCCAGGTAACGTTCTGGGGACCCGGGTTCATATCCTGCCATTAAGTGTTTAATAATGATCGTAAATCCATTGTTGATTGTCAGGGAAAAAAAACCCATCTGGTTCGCTGATGTCCTTTGGGGAAGGAAACAGCCATCCTTGCCTAGTCTGGCCTACATGTGACTCCAGATCCACAGCAATGTGCTAACTCTTAACAATTAGGGATGGCCAATAAATGCTTGCCTAGCCAACAATGCCCTCACCCCGTGAATGAATAAAAAACAGAATGGAAATCAAGTTCCTTGAATGTGGAGTTGCAGGTAGACAGGATGGCAAAGTGGGCATTTGGCACACTTGCTTTCATTGGTCAATGCATTAAGTATAGAAATTTGAGATGTCATGTTGCAGCTGCACAGGTACATTGGCAAGGCCACTTTTAGAAAACTACGTGCAATTCTGGTCGCCCAGAGGGAATGGGAATGAGTGGAGTATGGAGAGTCCCTCACAGCAGCAATGATCAGGGAAATGGGAATGAGTTAAAGACACAGAATGTCTCACACAACAGCAGTGACAAGGGATGGGAATCAGTGAAAGACAGAGAGACCACCACACAGCAGGAATGACAAGGGAATGGGAATTAGTGGAGAATGGGGTGTCCCTCACACAGCAGCAACAATGAGGAAACAGGAATCCCTCCCTGCCGCTCTCATCTTTCTCCCCACTTTCTCTTGACATGGACCTCTCACCCACATCCCTCCCTCTCTCTTGTCTTACTTCAAAAGGATCAAACCTGCATTTGTGATATTAGAAAAGACTTGGCACACCGTTTTGATAAAGTTCATTTATTTATCCTTCAACCTGACTATTAACATCTACTACGAAGCTGGAGTTTATTAACATCAGCAGAAATAGATGCTTTGATCATCTAATGAACAGCAGTTCCTGAAATCACTTACAAACTCGATGCTCTATCAGCAGGGTTGATAACTGAATCCTTTCCCACAGTCGTTGCAGGTGAATGGTCTCTTCCCAGTGTGACCGTGCCAATGAGTTTCCAGGTTAGACAAGGTTTTGAATCCCTTCCCACACTCTCCACATTTCCTTGTTTTTATCTCATTCAGACTGCATTTATGTTCTAACAGGCCAAATAATTAGCTGAAACTCATCCACACACCAAACATGAGCAGAGATTCCCTCCTGTGTGCATTCTGTGGTGTCTCTAAAAGGCAAATAGCAGTGTAAACCCCTTCCCTTCCTTGGAACTGGTAAATAGTCTTTCCCAGTGTGACTGCACCTACGATTCCTTAAAAGTTGAGTTGCAGGTAGACAGGGTGGTGAAGAAGGCTTTTGGCATGCTTGCATTCATTGGTCAGAGCACTGACTGTAGGAGTTGGGGTGTCATGTTGCAGCTGTACAAGTCTTTGATGAAGCCACTTTTAGAAAACTGTGTACTTCTGCTCATCCTTCTGTAGGAAGGATGTTGTTAAAACTGGAAAGGGTGGAGAAAAGTTTACCAAGATGTTGCCGGAACTGGAGGGTTTGAATTATAAGGAGGGGCTGAATATGCTGGGACATTTTTGCCTGGAGTGTAGGACATTGAGGTGTGACCTTATGGAGGTTTATAAAATCACAAGGGCATAGAAAAGATGAATAGCCAAGGTCTTCTCCCCAGCATAGGGGAGTCCAAAACTAGAGGGCATAGGTTTAAAGTGAGAGGGAAAGATTTAAAAAGGACCTGAGGGGTAACTTTTTTTTCCACTGAGAGTGCCAGAGGAAGTGGTGGAGGCTGGTACAATTAGAACGTTTAAAAGGCCTCTAGATGGATACATGAATAGGAAGGATTTAGAGGGATATGAGCCAGATTCTGGCAAATGGGACTAGGTCAGATTCAGATGTCTGGTTAGAGCGAACAAGTTGGACCAAACAGTCTGTTTCCATGCTGTATCACTCTGTGAACTTGCAGCAGGCATGGTTAACTGAATCCCTTCCCACATTCCCTGGTTTCTGTCTAGTGTGAATGTGCCTGTGTCTCAACACAGCAGATGATTGGTTGAAGCCTTGACTACACACACATAGGACACGTGTACAGTTTCTCCACACTAAGAGAGTTTCTTTTCCCATGTTCAAAATGTGACAATATTCAGATTATGATAAGTTTGGGGGCTAGGTCAGATTGGGAAATGATGTTTGATTGGAGGTTCCTGACTGCAAATACTCTCTATCTAACACCCTGTGAAATCAATTTAAAACAGAGGAAGTGAAAGAAATCCCACAAAGATAGGCTGTGAAATTGAAATCTGATCATTTTGAGGGGAAGAGTAAGCACTTGGAAGCAGTGAGCACAATGCTCATGGTATCAGCAACAGCAACCAAATGTTTGCTAACACCATACAACACCCATATGCACAATATTAAGAGGACTATTGCAAAATATTAACACAATAAACTTGTTTGTTAAAATATGTTTAATTGCTATGTGTCTGATGCACTATCAATTAGTACCAACTGCAAACGCACACAATATTAAAGCAATTTTTAAAACTTACAATAAAAGTTGTACCTGTTTTATTGTTTATTTCCGTGGCCCCAATATTGTCGCTCATTAAGATAGGATTGTTCATCTGTATCTGTAATTATAAGATACATTGCCACTAATGCACATGCTCCCTGGTGCCTGCAAGCACAAATGAGCAGGAAACTGCTGGTTTGTCACAAAGACCCAACTAGTTTAAGTTTAGGTTCGAGGGCTAGAGGTACAGGGGATTGTGAGGAACAACTTTATTTACACAGTGAGTGGTAATGACCTGGAACTCAATGCTTTCACACAAGAATGATAATATCTGCATCGTGGTGAACCAGATCAGCTCTTACTGTGATGTTTGTCTTAACTTTCCCGTCTGATTTGGTTTGGTATGTAACATACAAGAACATACAAGATCATAGGGTGTTTAGACAGAGCAAGGCATACAAGGTTACAACTGCATAGGAAGTGCACAAAAGCAAGACCACCATTAGATTTTAAATTGGAGAGATCCATTCAGCTATTAACAGCAGGGAAGAAACTGTTCTTGAACCTGTTGGTACATCAGTTACCCTGCCTCCTCTGCAAAGCCTGTTGACAGGGGTCCCCCACATCCCTCACTCTCAGTCCAGGCCTGTCTGTAACCTCTCCTCCTTTATAACCTAGTAGATTTTCCAACATTCCTCACTGTCGTTCCAGGCCTGTCTGTAACAGTTCTGAAGAAGGGTCACCGGACCTGAAACGTTAACTCTGTTTTTTCCTTCACAGATACTGCCAGACCTGCTGAGCTTTTCCAGCAACTTTGTTTTTGTTCCGGTCTGTACCGCTTTTTTAATCCAGTAGAGTTTCCCACATCCCTCACGCTCAGTCCAGGCCTGTCTGCAATTCCTCTTTTTAACCCAATGGAGTTTCCCACATCCCTCACTCTCAGTCCAGGTGAGAAATTCTTGCAGAGTCAGGACCCCGGCACATGCGCTCTTCTCCATATTACCCACAATTAAAGACGGCAGCGTATGCTCGGGGGTCCTGCAGCTCTAGATTCAGGCATTTGAGACTAACGCCAAGTCTCTGTAAAGCAGTAGCCGCACCCTGCCCCCTCCTCCTTCTCTCTCCCCTCTGCAGTTGTATTTTTTCCACCCTCCACCCTGTCCAACTTTTATCCCTACCTGAGGAAAGGAGTCGGGTCACGACTGGAGACCGGGCGGATCTGAATACCGCTGTGGCCAGTACATGGATTCAGCATGGGCCGGAGTGACAGCGGCAGATGGTGTGGTGTACCAGACAATCAAGAGCGGACCAGAGGGCTGAGTCCTGCGGCGGAGTGGACCGAGAGGGCAGGGGCAATTCCTGGAATGGTGGTGGAGTGAGCCCTTGATGGAGACCGGCACGTTGTGGCAGTGTGGCCTCGTGCTCTGGGGTCTGCAAACACGGAGTCTGCAACTCAAGTATTGATGGGCACTTACCATCCTGTACTTTTCACTGTTTTCATGCTAATTTTTTTTTAGCAATGTAAGTTTTGTGCCTAGGTACTTGTACCCAAAATGGAGCTATTAAAGGCAGCCATTGTAGAAACTTTTCACTGTACTCTTGTACTGGAGTACATATGACAATAAAGGATATTCTGATTGAAGCAAGCAGAATCCATCAACCAGAAACGAGGTGAGGCTGGTCCTCCAAACAATCGGCGTGAAAGTGGAGGGCGGGGCTGGAGGACTACAGCGAGTCATTGGTCCTCCAGCCCATCGGTGTGAATCAGGGGGCGGGGCTGGAGGACTAAGGCGTGCGGCTGGTCCTCCAACCAATCAGAGTCAATTAGGGGGCGGGGCTGGAGGACCAAGGCCAGCCGCTGGTCCTCCAAACAACGTGGAAACACGGTGTAACAAAGGACTGGCTTAAAGACTATGTCGCCAGCAGGAGAGCTCCTGGTTTGAATGAATGAAGCTGTAGAAGGTTGAGGACAAGTTGAGGGGGGAAGGTTAATATCTGGTGAAGAGTCAAGTTAATTCTGCTTTCTTCCCACAGATGCTGTCAGACCTGCTGAGTTCCTCCAGCAATTTCTTTTCTTTTTACTTCAGATCTTCAGTATCAGCAGTTCTTTGTTTTATTTTGAGGTTAACACCGTCATCATTCAG